GTGGTTTAAATAGGCTATATAAAAGTTTTGTTTTTTTTTAATGCAGAAATAATAAATTGCACCACTTTAACTGCAGTAAAAATGCATTTTATGGAGAGATTTGTGAGACATAAATGTTTAATAGAGGCACCGGGCTGTGTATTGTTCTGATTTCGCCCGAGGACCTGCAGGGCTGCTCGGTTACCGTAACACTTCATTACAGAGTGACTGGAAGTCCTCCGGTTTACGGGACCTCCTCGTCTGTGACCTCCAGGGATTCTGTGTGTGTGTCAGTCCTTCTCATCCTAACCTGCTCTGACAGACGTTGGACTGAAATCACAGTAAACATCGATTCCCTTAAATGTCATACAAAGTGTGGCGAGGGAAAGATGTGACCTGACAGCCAGACGGAGAGACAAACTGTGGGTTAGAGTCAGCTTCTGGGGACGATTTATCGACTGTGTGTGGGGTAGGAAAGTGTGTGTGCATGTGTGGTAGGTGAAGAAGTGAGTCAGCAAGACACTCACAGTCCCAAATGTGTGGATTCATGCTGTGTAACTGGAATTAGTGACTCCTTCTATCCTCCGTGACAAAGAACATGCAGTATCTTGCTTTGTAGTGTTGTTTACTGAAGTTATCGAACCAGTGACCTGTTTGCCGCAATGCCTGTTTTCTATTTTTCTTTGTTTAGATAACTACAAAATGCTCATTTAAAGGGTCGCGCATTTCTCTCTGGACTCTGGACGTGTCGGGAACATTTTCAGGTCAGGTGATGCAACGTGGATAGCTCAGTGATCAATCGAACGAATACGAGCGCCAAATCAAGTAAAACACATGTAAAAATGAAAATGAGTGTGTGTGTGCCGATCCACCTGTGATACATTTAGCAATAGCTGACAGTTTGCCAGATCAGACAGAGCCAGAACAGTCAAACAAGTCAACAGTCACGTCAAGTGGAACATCACCTGCAAACAGCTAAAAACACAAACGTGTTGAAGACCGACAAGTCTGCACCTCCAGCCTGCAGGAACACTTGTACATCACCTTAAAACTAATGAGATTTAACCAAATTAAACATGTATTACTGCTCAGCTTGGATTACAGCAGAAACATCACAGACATTAGACTCAAAGATGACCTGAACTTTTCATTTCAAGGTTGAACATTAATTTGCGTATAAAGCTGAGCCGTCTGCACAAAGCCTTTTTTTATTACTGTCAAATAACTATTACTAATCGGGCTGTTGCTCTCTGGGATACGAGATAAAACGGTTGAAATAAACGTTTTGTACTGAACAGAGAAAAACACAAATGTAGCATAACTGCAAATATTACTGCATTTTATGTTCAATAAGATTTCGACCACGTGGGTTTTGTTTTTTCTGCAGTAGCTCAAACTAATTTCGACTAATGAAAATATTTCACCAGCATTTTAAGGGAAAAATTTAAAGCAAATGTCAGTGAAGAGGATGCATTAGTCTATCAGCGGTGTTGCTAAATTAGCTTTTTTGTTTTTCTGGATTATCATCTGCACCACATGAAAGGTTCAGCACACCAACGGTTACTGGAGTCAATGACACAAACATGTTTCTTGAATAAACTCAACAACGTACATTTAGAAGCTAGCCAGTTTGAAGAAGGGCGGCATGTTGACGAGGGCTGTTTCCAACTAGCCAGCAGCACGCTAGCAGCTAGTTTCCCGGGTGCCGTACGACTTTCCGAGGTCTCGCATTCTGATCAAAAGTCATTATGTGACACCCACCACACCACAACATGACAGGGTTTGGTGTTCCCATTAAATTGTCAAATGAAGTGATGTTGATAAAATTTCAAACATGTGCAGCTATCTAGAAGAGAAATAAGTATGCTCCTGGGTTCACTATATGTTCTGGCTAATTCTACTGCACTGTCCCCACATCCACTATCAGAGAATTATTGGCTTTCATTCAAGGCCTGTCCACATTAATAGGACATTCTGGGTAACTTATTTCTGTGAACATCAGCCTGGACAGTCTGCATGAGGACTGAAAGCTGGTCAGATGAGGTCATGTCTGAAAGCTTTCTTCGATCCGTTTGTCCAATTCAATCAAAGTTTAAAGTACAAATATCACAGCGTGGTCAGCCCAGGTTTTTTGTTTTTTTTTTCGATGACCAGACGACCGCAGACTGTCTGTGCTAGAAGAGAAACTGGCATGATCAGACTCTGACGGATGCAGATTCCTTACAGTCTCCTCCGCGAGAAATGCAATGAATCTCTGGCGATTCCAGCAGTCCTCGCCAGTGGCTGCCCCCTCCACGGAAAACAATAGAACAGGCACTTTGATTCAGACCTTAGGACATTTAAACAAAAGAAAAAGCAAAAATTTCTCTGACATTTTTAGAGATTACAAGAATATTCTTGCTAAATGTAAAGCTCCTGATGGGTAACGTGTTGTAAAAGTCTAAAAACAATACAAACATAGTGAGACAGCCAGCAGCCAATCACAATTCCCCTTCTTGCATAGTTTTTTTTATGATTCTCCACCACACAGATGGGTAGAGCAATTGTCAGCGCCGCTCCACATGAGCAAAACCAAAATGAAAATAGAGTTCTATATCTTCACATGAGCACACACAGATAGATCTGTATAAACACAATATGAAGGACATCAGTCAGGATTGTTCCTTGACAAGTTTTGCTGTGGCCTCACTCTTAATTATCAGCGTGTCAACCTTTGCACTTTCCATTATTAGCGTTTTAGATCCGCATGCCACAGTGGCTCGTGTTGTCCCTTCAAATATTTAAACCGGCTGGAGGAAAGACCAACACTTTGTCCCGCGTTAGCACATCAGCCTGGACGCAGCGTGGAAGAACAGCTCTCGTGAGTGATCTCCGCCTGTGCTCAACCTGATGAGTCATGCCTGGCGATAAATCGTGATGCACATGTTCTGAGTTTGTGTAGCACAAGATTCCTGTCAGTCTTGTGGTCCTCTGGGGGTCTTAGAATGATGAGCAACCTTACTGGAATCAGCCCTGGAATTTTCCATTGCATCCATCTGTGATCCTCTGCAGTCTTTTATTAAATTAAGTGCACTCTTTACTGCATTCTTTCTAACAGCCAGCAGGGGGCGACACCAAGAAGTCTGATTAAATTAAAGTGTACGAGAACATGACCCTACTTCTTATTGACCTGGTACTGCTGTGAATTTTTTTGTTTAAGGACTTTATGGTCTCAATCGCTTGTCCCAGTCCTCCTTCAATACAACATGATGTTCGTTTTGTAAATTACGGTCCCATTTAAACGACCTCAACTACTGTATCAGCTTGTGTCCTTGACTTTCTGGTCAGATCCAACACTTGCTCGCTATGTGTGGTTTCAAAAGACCAAGAGGTGATGACTTAATGCCAAACTCAACCTAACGGTGACATCACTGTGGCTAAGTCCATCTTTTATATGCAGTCTAGGGTAACTCGATGTTATATAACGACTACAACCCCACTGTTTCCTTCTGCCATGGGAGAGATGCTGACTTCATCAGCTTTTCACCATCAACTGGGCAGATCACAACATCTATGTCTAGTATTATTTGGCCTTAAAGCCTAAAAACGGAGCCCAGAGCAGGTGCAGAAGGCTAGTTTCCTGGAATTTTTGTCCATTGCCTACATAGGTTTAATTCATTTCTTGAGGGGGTTTAGAATGAGCTTTTGTCCCACGAGTTTGGCTAAAATACCTTTTAAAACTACAATTCTGGCCAGCTGGTAATGAAGTTCTGCTGTACCACAGTTTCTTTTTGTTGTTGACGATGAAATGCACATGTTCTGTCAAAGTTTTGATTTGTCCAAACCCAGTTAAGAGATAAAGTTATGTGCACGAAGGCTCCTGGTCTTATTATCCACTCCAGACCTTTTAGAGAAATGAATAAAAGTGGACAAAAAGAAGCTAAACAAACACCAATGAGTCCAGACTTGTCTTCTTTCTATATGTAACACACGCATGCACACTGATAGAGTCACGTGCCGGGATCACATGTACTGTGCACCTGCTTATGTAAACCACTCCTGCATATGTTGTACAAGTGGGACTGATTGCATTAGGTCAGCGGCCACGCTAGTCAAAGAAACCCTGCAGCATGCAGACACTGCAGATGGACGAAACCTTATCATGCTGGAAGGTCATTCACATGCACCATGGCATTGAGATGCAAACACACACATACTGTATATTCATTGACCTCTTTGCCGCCATTCCTTTGTGAGACCATCACATGTGCAGCGTCTGGTCCACTAGTGGTTAAGTTAAAGAAGAAGAAAGCAAGAGTGAGACTGTGAATGTTCTGGATGGCCTCATTTAGAGAAACGACTGGTTTCCAGCCAACAAATCATGTTGCATTTAGGCCGGGTAAGAGAGATAAAGAGTGAGGGAGGGTGGACGACACAGCGTGGACTGTGACTCTCTGCTCTCCCGCCCCCTTTGCTCTACCTCTCCTGGGATCACGGCCCGACTATATAAATTAGAGCTCAGCCTCCTTGAGTCCGCTGACTCAGACATCCAGCGAAGCTGCCACTGATAACCTGACCTCACACAAGCTCCAGACTTGGACTGAAAGTTGACTGAGCTGCTTCACAAAGTGTTGGAGAGCAGGGAGGCTGCCTGGTCCGGGTCAAGGCTTGAGGTCACGAAGAAAGCAAGACAGAAGAAGGAAAAGTCCTTATCGGAGTGCACTGGAAAAGATGCAGGACGCAGGCTTCTTCACCCAAAAGAAAACAGTGGTAGCACTGTGCATTGTGCTGGTCATGCTGGCTCAACAGGTGAGTGGACTGACTGGAGAAAAGTCTTTCTAATGTTACAAGAACAGGTGGACAGATGAAGAGTATATTTATATGGAAAGGTGGGTTTTTTCTGCAGAGTTTTTCTAGTTAAGAAGTACTACAAACAGATGCCTTAAAAGGAAGAGACAAATTGTGACTGAAATGTATTTTTAAACTGAGATACAACCAAGAAAATGCAAGTTAGGAAGGGTGCTATGTTCTGTTTCATGATGTAATCAGATGCAGAAAACAATAGGGAGAACCATTTGAAGTAAACTTTAAGTACCACAGTGTTAAAACATTAAATGTTCTATTAGATGACTCGGTTCTAGATGAGCCATGCTCCTTGCCACATGTCCCTCCTTTGCTTGCTTTCCCCACATTTTCAGTCTTTCTCGACTGCAACTGTACAATAAAGATTGGAAGTTTTACAGCAAAGTGAGGCAGTTAACTTACACTACCATCTAGATTTAGCCACTACATTCACAATTTCTTGTCTAATGTGCCTCTAAATCAGGTGTCACGTCACCAATTTGATTTAGCGTCACTAGTAAACCACTAACTCAGAATTACAACAATCAACCCAGTCTGCCTGTTTTCCTTGTTTTGATTGTTTCCTAATACACATTTTTGTACCTCTTTGCGTCCCTCTGTGGTATCTCAGGTGTGTGCAGGTCCGCTGGTCTCACAGGTCCAGTCCAGCTCCGACCGTAGTGCAGATTCGAGGGGGGAACAGACGGTCCACGTCCTGAGGAGGATAGCTCGGATGACGCCACTGTGGAGGATCATGAACAGTAAACCATTTGGAGCATACTGCCAAAACAACTACGAGTGCTCCACGGGACTCTGCAGGTAATTTTACAGGAAGAACACAAAACAATCCTGGTCAAGAAGCCACAGAAATGCTTAAACTGTATGCTGCTGTCAGCTGATTATTGCAACTTGTTGGGTTACCCAGTGCCACCTTGAGATCAACACTGAAAACCGACCTTTTATCTTTTACCTCACATTTAATTCTGTTCCCCGCAAGCTACACATAGAAAATATTTACCAAGATCTGATAAAACTGAATTTCTAGCCTTGAAGATGTGATCCACAATTAGAAATGAACTAAGTAAAGAACGCTGATGCACAAAAAACAAAGTTAAAAGGATCAATAACTTGTTAAATTTGCTTCTAAAAGGTTTCTTTTACTTGTGACTAAACATGTATGAATCGTACGAATGTACCTAATTATAAAGATCAAGATCAAGGAAAGTCGTTTCAATCAGATTGTGCTGTGTTAATGAGAAATTATTCCTTCATCATTCAGGCTAATCGTTTTTATGCTTTGAACTCTTGGCTTTCCTGCAGTCTGATTTAACGTTATGCAGCTGCTTACATTTTTTTTTAAAATAAAGAACGAGTTGATCGATGTGCAAAATGAAACAAAGGTGTCCAGAAATCGTTGCAGAAATAAATAAACTCCTGTTTGTGTGTTGATTTTAGGGCGGGACACTGCTCCAACAGCCACCGCTCCCCATCAGAGCCTGTCAACTACTAGACGTCCGAGGACAAGACCAGCATGTTTACATGAGTGCACAACCGCAATCCTGATGGGTTCTGATAACTGGGATATGTATCCACTTTTTTTAAATCAGAATTTGTATTTATGCGTGCCAATATGATGATATATACATACATTTACGCAGCAGGTAGTTCTATTGGAGAAAAGTCGGGTCAGGGGGGCGTCACTGCTCCCTCTGATGCATTTCAAAAGGCCAAAATGAGACACATTAGTTAAAGTAGAAGTCAGCATGAGACGATGGAGTAAAGTGTGAAAATCATCAAGAACGTGTAAAATGGTTAAAACAACTGAACGCGCTTGCATGGACCAAAGCTTTCAGCTCCGATCTTGTCCCTCTCAGAGGCCGTCCAGCCCGTTGCTGTGGCCCTGAACTTATCTCCACAGCCGATATCATGGAGTCTGATGTCTGCGAAGCTCGATAATGAGGTTTTATTGACAGTCCATTGTTTCACTGATATGTGACAATGGAAAGTCTGAAAAATTTGCTCAGAACAAATTTTCTAAATTTAGCTGTGTAACTTTGAGCACAAAAGTTTGGACGTGTACTGTGATTTTTACATTCTCTGGACTGAACCAGACCGAACTGGTCAGTTCATGAGCGTTTCTAAGCAATACGACTCTTTATCTCTTGTAATACTTTTCTAACAGATAATGGTGAGGGAGCAAGGAGCAGCTTGTGCCTTTCAGGAGATCCTGACCTTTACATTTTGACACATGTCGTCATCACCGTCTCGTGTCGTGCTTGATATCTTTCAAAGCCTTATCATTTCATATTTTACTGATAATGTGCCGCCTGGAAACACATATAGCAGCTGATCACCCACATCGTGACCTGTATACAGACATATTGGGAACTAGCTGACATCAACAACAATATAAAGACACATTTTCACAGTCAAACTCTTGATGTTTGGGATTGTACCGAGCAAAATGTGGCTTGCAAAATATACAGTGATGTCAGAAATGCTAATTCACAAGCCTTACAAAACCCCAGCAGACATGCTTCTACCAAAAAAATGTACCAGTGTTCCAGTTAACAACGCATCTGAACATATTTTAATACTAATTCTGACTCACGGGGTGAAAGTCAAAACGACAGACAGAGAAAAGTAAGAAGAAGGCATAAAAGACGAGTGACAACGAAGGAGAAAGGATAAGAAGAGCAGCAGGTTACAACATATTGAGTCCACAGTCAAGCTAGTGCCTTAAAGATTTTAATACCTTTATGGGTTTTTTTTTTAGATTTATTCTTTTGAAAGTTATATTTAAAGTCCAAATCAGACTTACCATGAATGGAGATCACAGTAAACACGATTCACAGCATCTGTAATGCATTGATTTTGTGTACTGCAGTGATTCTCTGATATTTTATTTATTTTATTCTTTGTTTAAATGTTTAAAATGTGCCCATTTGCTTTTACTATTTTTGGTTAATGATATTTTAACGGTTTTGTTTTAGAATAATCAATCACACGGACTGGTTTCTCAACTTTTCCACATTTTCTCAGACGATCTTAAATCTGTAACGATAATAATCCGGGTTTTAGACACATGGGGCTGAGCGTACAAACGTTAGGAACAGATTCCTAACGAGAAGCTGCACAGCCTTGTTTTTTGTTTTGCACATCTGTGTCCTAGAATTGAACTGAACTACAGATTTCCTTTGACTCACCTGCACAGTTTACTTCATGCACACAGCAGGTGGCTGCTGACATTTTGTTCACTCAACATGTCGAAGAAATGTTTGAGTAGGATTGCACTTTGAAAACCAAATTATCTTTGTACTGTGTACTGCTTACTGTACTGTGTTACTTACATGTAGAGAGCTGGAGAAAACGTGGAATAAACGCATTGGAAACAACACTGTCATGCGTTTGTGACTGATCTTTTGCTGCTAGTTTTACAATAATTTAGATTAAAACACATGAATGGTTTAATCAGTGAGTGTCAGCACTGCAAGAGTCTTGGATTTTTCACTTACAGTATTTTTCTGCATTATCCTTTGAACTGAACTGGACATAAGGGACATTTTTATCCTTTTTACAATAAGCTTGACATCACTGTGTTGACCTGCATTACAACTCTTCCTGACCTCCCCACATCCCAGGTTTGTGCTGAATATGTAAACGTTTAAACAAGTCACAGATATACTGTGTATGCTGTCTTTGAAAAGGCTTCTGAATTTCCCAAAACAGCTCATGAGCTTCTAACAAAAGTTATTAAAACTGCATTTATCAGGGATTATTGTGACAGTGGATTAACGAAAATAGAAATGACGACTCAGTCGAGGATATGAGGTTATTCTGTGTGTTAATAAATACAGAAGATGATCACCGTTAGGTTTGGTAGCTTCACGTTACCATCATCCCTCCCCTGATCATCACATGGTTACCAAACAGGAACAATGATCGCTGTGTTTACATGCATTTGAATATCCTAATTAAGATTAGGTTTTATAACCCCAGTGTTGTATTTGTGCATGTAAACATATCTTGATATTATAAACCTGGTTAAGTCCTCATCCAGGTTTTGAAAAGCCAGGCCGTGCCAGCTAGAGTACTTTAAAGAAACTGGGATGCTGTTGCTTGTTCCATCTCATCCTGGTTTCCGACTAATTTTCTCTCCACTGAACTTCATCATGAAGACTCCCGCCAGTCACAGCCGTCCATTTTCATCCTTCACCCCCGTGTTCTGGCAAAGGCCGAGGACATCTTTAATATTTCCATGCTCTCATCTTCTACTGTTGGGAATCATATGGATAAGCCAAATCCACAACACAGCCATCCATCCATTATCTACACACCTCTTAATCCTCATTAGGGTCATGGGGGGCTGGAGTCTATCCCAGCTGACTCAGGGTGAAGGCAGGTTCACCTGGACAGGTAACCAGTCTATCACAGGGCTACACTTAGAGACAGACAACCAAGCACACTCACATTCACACCTACGGACAATTTACAATCACCAATTAACCTCAGCATGTTTCTGGACTGTGGGAGGAAGCCGGAGAACCTGGAGAGAACCCACGCTGCACGTGGAGAACATGGAGACTCCTCACCGGGACCTTCTTCTGGCTGCGAGGCGACGGTGCTAACCACTGAGCCACCTTGCAGCCCGTCCACAACACAATGAAGGCATTTCATTTGCAGCATGTTTGACGCACAGTTTAAACTTTCATGTCTTTTACAAATTTGTCGAGACACTCGTGAAAAGAACAACATTCTCTACTTCCATTTGGTAACACATGCAGAGTGAACCATAAAACACTGAATAAGATACACATGAGGCTTCAGTCTTTGTCTTCTACATCCAGTTCATGAACAGATTGTTTAAATGTGAGAATAAATAAATCAACTCTTCTGTGGATTTATATGGAAACTAAACTTTTCATGGCAATGTCAAGGGACTGTGAAACTGAACCCTCAAACAAAAGGTCTCCATGTCACCCCTGATGTACACTTAAGGAAATTAGAGTAAATAATAAAGAAAAAGTAGAATAAAACTAAGACAAAGGTCATCCAGACTGCTGGGCTCCTCCCTCTGTCTGAATCAAAGCGTCTCTGAATGTTTCTGTGTTATTGTATTAATATGGCCTCAGCATGGGATCAAAGCTATCTTGTCTTGCATCTGGATGTACAGTGATGTTTCCATATGTAGTGTGAATGACATATGGATTCCAGCTCGTCTGCAGAAAACTCTAAAACCCTGTGATTCGTTTATAACATCTGCAGCAGGATAATAATGAGACTGCGCAGCCTGGACGACACTCTGACTCATCTGCTTTGCATTTTTTATGTACCAACTCGAAGGACTTAATCTGCTGTCAGCGTTCAAAAGTCAAACAGCTGCTGGCGTTCCGATGTTTAGTCTTTCACAACGACAGAGGTGAGCCAAGTGGGTGAGCGGTGAGAGACGGCTGAGAATCATGTGTATTCAAGATGAGCAATGCCTCACCAAGGACTTCTCAACATCCAGAGAGAATGTGACGAGTCATCAGAAACGTCTTTTCCATGAACATACATGTGTCTGTTGTGTCTACACGGACAAACACTTAGTGATGAATCTGCATGTCAGTTTGCTGTCCTGACACAAAGGTTTAGATTCCTTTAACATAAAACTTTGAATAATTGAATTTTTCAGTTCTCATTACAGAGAGAAAGATGAATAAAACAGACTCCCTTTAGTTTATGTTGCATATGCATCTACAAGTACGTAGACAGAAGTGTTTTCCTTCCCCTGTGCACAAAGCCAGACCCATAGAGACACATTTTCCCAGTTTGGGAATGTTGCTGTGGTGTAGTTTAAGAGTTTTTTCTACATGGAGAAATTTCTGGTGCCACACAAAAAGGTTTAAGTCTGTACCAAAGGAATCTGAAAATGCTGGATTGAGAATATAGAGTTCTTTTTTTTTTCCAGTCTTGTTAACTGGGGTTTTTATTTACTCAAGCACAACAGATATTTGGGTTTATTGAATTGAAATAGGGCTGGAAGGTGGCTCAGTGGTTAGCATTGTTGCCTTGCAGCTAGAAGGTAGCTCATGTCCCAGTGAGGACACCCGGGATCTTTCTGCGTGGAGTCTCCATGTTCTCCCCGTGCAGCGTGGGTTCTCTCCGGGTTCTCCGGCTTCCTCCCACAGTCCAGAAACATGTTGAGGTTAATTGGTGATTCTAAATTGTCCGTAGGTGTGAATGTGAGTGTGCTTGGTTGTCTGTCTCTAAGTGTAGCCCTGTGATAGACTGGTTACCTGTCCAGGTGAATCTGCCTTCACCCTGAGTCAGCTGGGATAGACTCCAACCCCCCCATGACCCTAGTGAGGATTTAGGTGTAGAGATGATGGATGGATGGAAATTGCACAGATTTCTGTCAAATGACAAAACACAGAATCATAGATTTTACTGTATTCGGCCTGATCATGCTAACTGTCGTACATATAATAACAATAACAATACATCTTGTTTGTATAGCACACTTTAAAATCAGGCAACATCTCAAAGTCCTTCACAGGAAGAAAGTATTCACCCCAAACAGTTCGTTCTAAATCAGGAAAAACCTTGAATTAATTTTACCTCCTAATTACTCGTAACCACAATCGTTCCCAAACCATAACCAAGCGTTTCAGTGTCCTTAATCAGTCGATAATTCAGATGTTAGGATTGGACACACAAAAAGTTGGCATCATCGCCCAGTATCGATGTTGCTGTGTGGCGATAGGAGTGAGGAGTTTGATTGGCCTGCACTGAGTCCTGACCCCAACACCTTTTGAACTGGAGCCCTTTTTGCAAGACAGACTGGCTTCATTGCCCAACATCAACGGTAGACCTAAATCATGATCTTGGAACAAACTCCTACAGGAGATCGATTGGGTGAATCATTTCAGTGTCCATATGCTTTTGTACGTATGCCATAAGGTGGAACCACTTAAGGATGTGAAGTGGGGTAGAACAGAACGATTAAAACCCTTAATTAGAAAGACTTTAAATACAATACTGTAATATCATAATGTCAGAGTTGTTTCTAGAAATGTGTTCGTTCATACCTTTCTGTGAAAACGTTGTGCTCCTGAGGCCGAACGCTGAACTTGGCCACTTCCTCCGCATCACGATCCACCAGACACTGTCTGGGCACGAGTCATCTGGCACCCTTCACTTGCACACAGTGTTCTCCATACAAGCTGTACCGGCCAATTCGCTGTCCCATTTCACTCTGTGTGACAGTGAATGTTAGTTTTTTAATATTTGTAGTTGTTTAAACGCTACTTCTGGGATTCAAGTAGCCTACCGAGAATCGGTCTACATTTATTACAGAACATTTCAAACTTTCTGCTGCTTTCATTTCTCAGTTTTGGTTTACAACAGATTTTTGGTAAAGATGATTTTACTGGAGTTTTACTTCATCGTTAAAATTACAGGCTTTATTTTCATTCCTTGGAGATGCTGCACGAGTAGCATGAATGTATAGTCAATCCCCAGAGTAGACGCTTCAGTGTATTCAGTGCTATTTTATCAATGCACAGAACTCTGAACGTTTACATAACGTTCTATCTCAAGCTGTCTGATGATATGAATGCTAATGTTCCCACCTGGCACACCTGTCCATCCTCAGCTTGACTGGCAGGCTGACTGTTGTGTGGAAGTAAAGTGTTTTGATTTTCTGCATGTTTCAAAGCATTATAGAATGTTTGTTTTTTTGTCATGGTTAATAGATTGAAAAACCTATAAAAATTGTTAATCTCCAGTTAGCTTCCTGTAGCATACACATGTAGCATGAACTTATCACAGTATCCTTCCCATTACTGCTATAACTGCAGTGACACAACACTGTGCAAATATACTTACAAACACTGATAAATGTTAGGGTCACTTTATTATTATTATTATTATTATTAGTAGTAGTAGTAGTAGTATTGTTACACAAGCTCACTGCAAGTGATTTAAGCTACAGCTAGCGTTTGATAAACTGCATAAAAAAGGCAAAAAGTAAATACAATTAAAAATGTGAAGTAGCTGCACTGCCAAAAAAATATTTTACACTCTAAGTATTTTATATTCATATATCCATGGGTTTTGAGAAAAAAGGGTACAATATTAGCTCAGTATCAGCGTCTGTTAAAGATTAGTTGCTTAGTTAGCTTTACTTAAAGGTTAGCTTCTGTTAGCAGTTAGCCTCTATTAGCGGTTAGCTTCTAATACTGGTAGCTTCTGCTAATGGCTAGCTTCTGTTAGCAGTTTGCTTCTAACAGCGGTTAGCCTCAATTAGCGGTTAGCTTCTAATAGTTGCAGCTTCTGCGACTGGTTTGCTTCTGTTAGCAGTTTGCGTCTGGTAGCGGTTAGCCTCTATTAGCGGTTAGCTTTTAATGGTGTTAGCTAATGCTAGTGGCTAGGTTCTGTTAGCAGTTTCCTTCTGATAGTGGTTAGCCTCTATTAGTGGTTAGCTTCTAATGGTGGTAGCTAATGCTGGTGGCTAGCTTCTGTAAGAGGTCAATTTGTATTGGCGGTTAGCTTCTGCTAGCGGTTAGCAGAAGCTAGGTATTATTATTCACATAAAGTTATATTTACCTCAAACGACAGATGAAATTTACACAGTGAAGGTTACTATGAAGCGTCAGTATTTTAACTATTCATATTTTGTACTTACAGATGTAATTTCTCTCAGGTCTTGTAGCCATTTTCTCCAAGAGTCAGTGGCTGTACTGCACTAATAAATCCTCAGCAGCAAGGGCCCTGCCAAAAAGTGATCCTCTGCTATAACAGTGTTTAACTCAATTAATTGATTGTGTGCTTCTTGTTGACCAAAGTACTGTTTGCAGTATTATCAGCCATAACACTGGGATTGTTTTAGGTGGTCTTAAAGTGTTATTTTTATTTTTTAGGCTACATGTGTTTGGGAGGTCAAATATCCTTGTTGAAACTGTAATTAGCATGATTTACTAATGGGCTTTATATATACAATAAACATATATACATATAATTATCTGAAGGCTTAAAAAAAGTCCATTTGATAAACTTGAACTCTTGTCTGTCTGACAGATGATGCTGCAGCACTAGCAGGGGTAAAATAACTGAAATTACAGTTACCATAAAAAATCTGGAGTTTTGCAATCAGTTTTCATATTCTATCTGGTTCCACTTTGTTGAACTGATCTTATAATTGCACTGTGCAGGCTGACTGAGCAGCTAAACAAACAGCTGAGCACCACGGACGTTTCTGTTTGAATCTTGAGAAACCTTCTTCCCTGAACTCTAATTGGATGATTTCAGGTTTAATGTCAGTGTTCTGCTGACTGCAGCATGTTTTCCATCTAAAAGTTTCATTAGATGAGGCAGCTGAAACATGACATTAATGTTTTGGCCAGAGGCAGGTTGTGTGTGTGCGTGCACATGCTTGTATATGGTCAGTGTCACAAATCGATATTTTCAGGTCTGTGCAGCGTCTGTGTTTATTCCTGTCTTTGCTTCTCTGGATGTATATAACCCAGGTCATGTATTTCTGTCTCTGTTTAACGTAGCTACACTTTGAACTCCAAACACCACGTCTCAAAGTTCAACATGACATATTTACTTTTTCTGATTGAATATTTCCTCGTTTGTGGAGGTTTTACTTGACAGAATCCATACCTGCCATTTAATTAAATGCATGATTGAACATAAAAATAAAAATGTAATGTGACTTTGAGAACCCTTTTCAAGTTGTTAATATCACTATGATGGGTTGGGTTGACATAATGCTGTTGTATTAACTTTATACAGTGTGTATTTAAAACTCAAATTAAACTTCCATCCATCCATCATCTATACAACTTAATCCTCACTGGGGTCATGGGGGGCTGGAGTCTATCCCAGCTGACTCAGGGTGAAGGCAGGTTCACCTGGACAGGTAACCAGTCTATCACAGGGCTACACTTAGAGACAGACAACCAAGCACACTCACATTCACACCTACGGACAATTTACAATCACCAATTAACCTCAACATGTTTTTGGACCTTGTGGGAGGAAACCAGAGAACCCGGAGAGAACCCACGCTGCACGGGGAGAACATGCATGCAAGATCCCAGTGTCCTCACCGGGACGCAAACAGACGACCTGCTAGCTGGGAGGCAACCACCGAGCCACCTTGCAGCCCCAAATTAAACTTAATTAATTAGAAGTAAATTCAAGTTGAGGTTACATAATGAAACTAACTTGATCACTACATTTTCTTCACCTTGAGGCTAAGATTTCAAGTCCCCTCCTCTCCCTGCTTTATACTGGAACAACCTCATTTTTTACATTTTCCAACATAAAAAAAGTTTTCGGAATAATGCTGAATAAGTACATCAAAGCTTGAAGGCTTGTTTTCATTCAATCCTTAAATAGGTCACAACAGCGAATGCCCTGAGCCCAGTGCAGTTTGGTGGTTGAACATCGTTTTTCAGAAGTTGTCATAGTTCAGAAAGATGAACACAAACTGTTGCATTAGTTGTTTTGTTTGTTTAGATGTCACATTGTGTTTTTGAGTATAAACGGACTGCATTGTCGGTCCTGATCGTTGGGGCCTGTCACCATTTCTTTAGGCTGCATGTCACTGTCCGTTCTGGAGAAAACAGTCAGTGACCCTTTGAGTTGGGTTCCCGTACGGTCACATACAGTAGCGTTGTGTAATCGTCAGAGCCCAGCTGAGCTGCTGCACTCCTAAATATTGCAATAATGCTGCCGTCCTTGACAGTCTGAAATCCTGCCAAGTTCAAAGTCTCGTCCTAAAGGAGTCTGAACTTGATGGCAAGTGAAACAAATATTCTTCTTGATTACCTAAAAATAAAAACCTGTTTGCGCTTACGTAAGCTTTACACAATCATTCGCGTTTTCCCTTTAAAAGCACCTGAAACGCATTCTGGAAAAAAAAAAAAAGATGAAACACTCCCCCGCTGTCGTCAGCATCAGTGTTATCTACATGTGCCTAAACTTAATTGTGAACTTGATTTCCAGGATTTGAGTAACGAGCATTCCTCCTCCGTTTTCAACTTTGGCTTCGGGACTGAAGTTGAAAAACGCCATGAAGCATACTTTAATCTGAGAGTTTTCTCCAGAGAGTAAATAAAAATGAGTCCAGCTGCTCTTTGTGCTGGAATGCACACAAAGCCAGTTGGTGATTTTCTGTTAAGCCGCAGAAAATTGTAAAGATATCTGACATAAAATCATTCTGTTAATATGTAAGTTGCTCCTTTAGTAGACCTTAGTTTAATATATGCTTGTTTAAGGCAGCTTTTAATTTTCCAGTACGAAGAAGTACATTTTAATTATCAACTGTTTGCAAATCTCAGTTTTTAAGAGTTGTTGGGGGTTAATGTGATTTATTTATTTCACTGAGGTGGAAAATTGCAGCAATAAACTGAGAAAAGACTTCAGATTACAGAAATGGACAAACTTTCATGGAATATTACTGCCATGATGATATTATTATGCCAAATGGGAGCAACAGCCTGGCACCAAATGTGTTTTGCAAACAGTTTTATTGTCGCTGGATGACTTAACCCAAACAAAAAAATGATGCACTTCACCTTTAACCTGCATTTATTGTGACTGCAGACACTATCTGACCTCCTGATGGGCTGGAACTGATGACAACTTCAGTTTGGTTTCTGTTTTTAATAAATGACTGTAGGGTCTGGACGTAATGAGGATTAAGCAGTGATAGATAGATAATGGATGGATGGATGGAGGGGACTGGACGTGACTTTGTAAAGTGCCTCGAGATGACTTAGGTTTTAAACTGGATGCAACTGAAAGCTAAAAACAGCAAGTAGATCGTTTTTTGAGATTAAAACAAAATGAAAACACTCCAAACAACCACATTTTTTACAGTTTTATTACAGAATTATTTCCAAAAACAACAAAAACAGCCAAAGGTTTGCCCAGTGGACTCATTCAGCCAGGATGGTTTGTGGTTCACATGGAGTGTGTTTGAATGTCACCAAACATCTGACTGGCTGTTGTACATTTAAATAAGAGGCACGATCAAGTATGTTCTTGAATTACCTTCAGTTTATTCCCGCTTTTCTCTCCATGTGCTGAACCAATAAACAGTCAAATATGTTCAAAACAATGTAAAACAGATGTGTGTCAAAGAGTTTGTCACAGTTTAGCCGATGGCAGCGGTAACCTAAGGCACTGAGAGGCTCCTATTAAACATCTGGTCACTGCACTACGTTCAGAAGCAACTACATGCACAATTAGCACAACAAAAGCTAAAAACGTGTCAAAATAAGTTGTTTTTTTTATGACTACACAATTCCAAACTCTGCTATTTTTGCATAGTTAAAAATAAAAACTGCAATCCTGTGGTTTCACTCACACGGAAACTTTAATAAGTGCATCGATTGTTCGGGCTATTAAACAGCCGCGTCTCCTTTAAAACACTTGAGCTAATTATCGGTTAAGAACTATAAAATAAATAGTAGATAGGTTATCTATTTGGTAAATTATTTTATACATCGTACAGCATGTAGGACGGGAGGTATGTGAGTCTGGATGAGTGAGCTACAATCGAAGCATGCGTGGCAATAAATTAGATCAACAGGAAGAATTATTTGAAGCTTCAGGTGTCTACAGTGGTTACACATGTACAGAAGCAGTGACGAACACAACAATGATAGGATTTACTGTACGACGTCTGGCTGGAACTTCATGATAGTTCACATATAAAGAAACTGCTTTATGACACAATCAGGCTCAAATTACATTCATCTCCACAGGTTTAATGAAAACATTGAGCTACTTCCCTTAAAAAAAACATCATCAATGAGCAAAGGACGGAAATTAAGTTAAATTTTTTCTTTTCTTGTTGTCAGAAAATCCCTTTAAAAAACAGAATTAGAAGAGTATTGTCTGTGTAGCTCATTCCTCTGTGCCTCTACTGACCACGATTTAAAAACACATGTTTACCAGCGACATGTTCCCTCCTGACAGTGGTGAACACGTGCACTTTTGTTCATTTTGGCTCCATACGCCATCTTTCTTTTCAGACAAAGAATCTGTAAGATTGTCAATTTGTTCAAGTGTCTGCATTCAGACACTTTAAATGTTCCTCACGGCTTCATTCAGACAAACCCACTGCAGCACGTGCGCTACATATTTGACGCACGTGCACGACTGGACAGTGCACCAAGTGATGCAAAATAATCCACGAAAACTAAATCCCACGTGATAGCAAGCTTATCAAACTGTTAAAATAGCTAATAACGCTCTCCTGTGTGATGAGAACGACTTTATCTCCACAGCTGTGATGGGGCTCAGGACCAATCATTTGATTAACTGTGACTTACAGTTGGATCCTGTGACCTATTTACCACAATGATGGTAGCATTTGCTCAAACCTTCAGCTGATGTAACCTTTATATATATATATATATTTGTGACCTGTTTAGAGAGTTTCAGTGCCACAGGCGGCATGGGGATGTTTTAGGAGACGCATGAGTGATTTCTGTTGAGAAAAATGTAGCAAAAAGAAAAGGATCCCACCAGTCTTAAAATGAGAAGATGATGCTCATGTAACGGCTACAGCTGGTGTGCTGATCCAGTACGAGTGTGTGAATGCTCCTCCAAAACACTCTAAAACGTGAATTACCAACAAAACCAAACACATGTGAGTCCGTTGTTGAGGTCTGATCAGGTGACTACTTCCACATAAAGCCCAGAAATGCAACAACACAACCTGATCCGCTACACACTCTGCAGTAACACACGCTGACGATGGGATCCTATTAATGCACTGGTAGTTTATTCTTACGTTCATGTAAAAACCGTCCTCTCACTGCACAGCACACGAGCCGCTGGGCAGGAAGTCCTGCACGTAGACGGCCACGGCCTTGGTGAGGTAGGTCATGCTCCCGAAGCGGCCGCTTGGGGCGCTGTCATACAGCAGCCTGCACACGCCGGTGGACGGGTCCCTCTCCAGGATGTGCTCCTCGGCTCCCAGGTCCGTCTGGAGGACAGGGGAAGATGAAAACCTGCCTCACTCAACCACAAAAACATTAACAGAGCAGAGGGCCGAGCTGCTGATGCTGACCTGATCCTTGCAGAACATGTCGTTGGCCAGGTGGACGATCTTCTCCACATGGATGATGGAGCCGATGCTCTGGATCTCCACGTCGGCCAGCATGGTGAGGACCAGGATGGCCTCCACCAGCAGCTGTCGGTACTCGGGCTGAGGGACTCGGTTCAAAACGGTCTCCACGTGGACGGAGAACTTGATCTCTCCTGGGGTCATCTGGAGGAGAAACAAGAGGAGGACAAAGAAACACATCAGACCTACTTCAGTGTCCAGACAGGCTTTCAATATATCAGAGGACCTCAAGAACCAACAGTTTGATCACTCCTCTAAACTTAAGTATGACAGAAGTGAAATGATGATTCAAACTTTGACAATTTAAAATCTTTTGTATTCTTTTCTTCTATTAGCAAAGATTAATGCAAAAAATGCTACGGTAGGTAAAAATAATAGCTTCCGTTCCTCTAATAATCAAATTTAGCTCCTAAACGTAAATTATTTATAACTCCTGTTTCTCAAAAAGTAGTGGTTCATCTCCTGAAACATGAAAACATTCTCCAAAAAAGCTTCATGCATAATTAGTGGATTTAATAATGATGAATCCCAAACTAAGTGTTTGTATTTTAATTGATAAGAGGAGGAAAAAAAACAAACACCAGAAAAGCCACAAAAAATAGTCTTTTCCTGTCAATGTTATGTATGAACAGATTGGAGCTGACTGAAGCGTCTCACCTCTCTGGTGGTTGAAGAAGGAAGGACGAATCCCTCTATGGACAAACCGTGACACTGCAAGACAACAGCGTGATCGTTACTCTGTAGGAAGGTTCTTTATGACATCTAATCCAATTCAGATACCTTTTGGTGTTTCTATCCTCCTTTCAAATCATTTTACAAAACTCCAGAATCCACATAAAGATATACGACTTTCATAAAAGTTTTTAAAACATTTTTAAGTCTACACTGATTCTATCTTTAACATCAATCAATGTTGTTTATTTGAGAAAAAAGCAGCTTCTGTTAAGTCCGCCGTCTTCCCTGCTCTGATGGTCGACTTTTGGGTGACACAAGCAGGAAAATCCATCAAACTTTAATTTAAGCTCTTTAATTTGCACCCAGAAACATGAATTAAAAAGCTAAAGCTGCACATGTTCGCTGCACATTGAGCTTTAATTTTACACTAAATTTCAGTCTAGAACATTTTTTTTGAGTTGCTTACATCCCTTTATGATTTGTGAAGTGTGTATTTTAATGATAGCATTTGCATCAACGTTCTTTTAAGCACTGCTTTATTATCAGGAAACAGGGACCAGACTTGCGCAATAAAAACTCTCTCAGACCTTCTGCAGGATCTTCCAGACTTTCTGGTAGAACCCGATCGGCACTCGGTTCAACGCTCCATCCAGTCGCCTCCTGCGCAGCCATTGGCCGTGTCTGGTATCCTTGGCGACCGGGATGCTCTCTGGAATATCGAGGGACTCTATGGACGGCAGCCGGTACCTCTGAACAGTCGGGATCATAAAAAAGAATCACTGGAGCTGTGTTTGTTTTAGAGGAACAGCGCCCTCTGGCGGTTTTTTCAGGCAACCCAACACACTGACATTATGATGTAAAGTGGTGTGTGGAGGACCAAAAACAAAACACAGCACATGAAGTGAAGTCTTTACCCCAGACTCGATGTTTTCTATGTCCAGTGACTGAGATCGCCCACCCTGAGAGGCAGAGAACAAAAATAGAAACAAACAGAAAAGATGCACAAAATGAAAAACCCTGTGACGTGACAACAGAGTGAGTCGTGGATCTGAACAGCCCCAAAGCCGGCGGATTCTGAGCATGCACGAAACAAAATGAAGGCAGAAAATGATAGAAATGAAGTGAGAAAACAAACAAAATAAATGAATTAAAATTCGGTTTTCAGCGTCACTCGCTCATCGTCTTGTAGCAGCGGCTTTAAAAGCAAACTGGTTAGTGTCTGATTTATGAAATAACGATCTAACACATGCTTTTATTTCCATTTTTAATTGTAGTGATTGCACTACTACCTTTTAATTATTATCATCAAATATTTGGGATATTTTTGTGAGTTTGTCTCAAAACGTACTTTTACCAAATTTTGTCAGTCGCTTGTCAATCACATTGAATATGTTTGAAAAGTTCAAGATAAAAATAGTTTGATTGGCTGATTTGTTTAAATACTAGAGTCCTCTGTGTCCTTTTTGATTCTCTCTTATTAAATACAAACATTTGGAGACAATTTTATAACTAATAATTAAAATTATTCATTGAATTTCAGCTAACAGAAGAGTTGATAATTCATCAAATTTATCTGGAACTGGACTAAAAAGTATTTGTGATTATTTTGTGAAACGATATAAACTCAACTGTTTACCGATTAATCAATAACATAATTGGCGGATCAGTAATGGAAGCAGTGGTTAGCTGCAGCGACCAATAAGCAAATAATAACCAGAGATATTAAAGTTTCAGCCACAGAGTTAATCGGCTCCAAAACCGGTGATGTCTCTGGTTAATCAACACCCGGACGTTAACGTCGTCACCACTGTCACCTTTCTGAAGGAAGCCATCGGCTGGTCGAGCTGAAACGAAGAAAAAGAAATCCACTCTGCGTTAAGGACTTTAACTTCTAGAAAACCTGTTTCTACCTAAATCTAATTAAAAACCTCATCATCTTCATTAACACCATCATCAGTCAGAGATCTGCATCAGAAGAAATTAAAACTTAATTACAACGTCTCAAACTGCAATTAGACTTCTTCTAACTCGTCCTCACTTATTCCAGGTTATATTTGTAATTTCATCACCTCAACTGAGTCGGCCAAAGACACCCTGCGGTCGATCTGCAACGGAGAGACACGAGCTCATTTTAAATCAGTAAAGCCACATTCCTCTTCCACAGCAGAGTCAATGACCATCAGTTCCTTCTCAACACCACTGAAATCAGCTGCAGTGACTCCTCTCAACACCATCGTCACCTCGGTAACCGGACCTGACAAACACAGCCTGGACTCCTGCAGCAAAGCTTAAACCTCAGCTTCACTGCTTAAACTCAACTCGGTTGTTCTGGAGCTTCGACTGAAGCACACATCGGTCTCCGTCACGAGGTGGAGTTTGCTCACTTGTCATTGTGCACAAATGTTAAATTGGAGGAGTTCTTCTTGAAAACTTGAGATCTACAGATCCTCCTCCACCTTGGAAACAGCACTGGACAAAACGAGCTCAACTTAGGTGGAAAGCTCAGGAAAAAAAGCAAGTGAGTGACTCTTGACTTGAGCTTGTTTTGTCAGCCGACTTAGAAGTGCTCACAAATACAGATGAAGCTTCTACAGCGTCAGGACAACAGAGCAAACTGCTGATGAAGACTGTGGGCCACAGCTGAGAGCTCTGGAGCAAGTAAGCGGGTCTGGAGTTAAGTTTGTAGCAACAGTGACCTTCCTAACCAATCCAACGCTTTATTTTTGACAGATAATACAACGCTGATGGATCTTTCTGGTGATGTTTACATGGAAGGTGAATTAACACCATCAGCACGATAATAAATAATAAAATACTGCGACAGTTAATGTTCCTCCATGTGATCATCACCTTAAACGGATCAGTCAGGGACAACCTGTGCTCCATCTGCAACACAAACACTCAGTTACAAACACACAACCGTCTAGTGTATCGATAAGAGACTGAAATCAGCTGGAAGAATTCAGTTCATTTCATCTATTCAAACCTCATTAGGAGCAAAAATTGATGCCTCCAATTTAAAACCTTCAATTTACCAACAATTACTCACAATTATTCTTTCTGTCAGGCGAATTAACACCTAATTTAATCATCACCTTACTGGGATCCGTCAAAGACAACCTGTGTTCCAGCTGCAGAAAGACAAAAGTCAGGTGAGAAGAAGCTCAGCGTTTTCTACATTAAGTTCCTCTCCTGCCTCGATTCATCTCCTCCTCCTCTTCCTGAACAGCTGCTGACTTCACCCTGACAGTTTATTTATGTTTGTTGATGCTTCTTCTGCCTCAGTCCTGTTTTAAAGTTGCAGCACTTTGAGCTTTTTAGTGGGATGATAATGTGGATAATGTGTGATTTAAATTTCCCTTTGCACGACACAATAAAACTGAATGTCAGACTAAACAATGAGCATGCTCTTGGTGAAAATACGTCTTCTTCAGCCCTGAAAACTGCAGTTTCTTCCACTGAAGGTTGCCGTTTGGTGTCTGGGTCGCTGCCGTCGACTCACCAGTTATGATCTTAACACAAAGGTTGGCTCAGTTTGACACACAATTTGATATTTGCTCTGGTGAAACCATAACTGTGCACATGCAAGTGGCCAAAACAGGAGTTCCCGACAGTCACCGTGGCAGGAGCGCTGGGAGCAGCGAAGACGACTTCAAAGAGGACCGCGGGAAATGTGATATCAGACACTGCAACCTCTTGATCGCAAAGTAATGTACATTGAGGCGAGAGGTGCGTTTTGATCTCACGACCACGTCATCCTACCATCTTCATGTCGCTCTTCAGTTTGCTGATGCCGGCTCTCTCGCTTTTGGTGGCGCCGACGTTGCCCAGATGATGGATGGAGATGGCAGGACTGACGCCGGCGTCCAACTCTCTCACTGCAGAGGAGGAAAAATGCACAAGAATAGAACAAAAAACATGCATGGATTTTTATCTAAAGAGCTAAAAAGTCTGTATTTTAGCAGGAAAAAGCTGAGAAGTTGTTAAAAATGCTACTTTCAGCATGAATCTCTATCAGAGAAACATGAATCTACAGCAATATGCTAACTGCAGGTAAACTGTGGTGACTACTTTGTTGTTTAGCGTGGAGCCAAAGATGCATCCTGCCATGCAATGACACCCATTTAGAAAACCTAACAGCAGAACCAGGAGATGCTCTGTGTGAGATGCAGATTAAAGGACTGACCGCTGCGCTGAACTCCAAACTCCTTCCCACTGAGGATGTGGTGAAGAAGGTTCTTCAGCTCAGACGGACTGAGACTCATCAGACTCTCTGTGGCCTCCTCTCCTAAACACACACACAGAAAAAAGAAAAACATGACAAAACTTCTTTTCTATGTTTTCTTAAATGTAAAAGTTGTTACTGGTGAAATAACGTTGTACAGTTCTGAGGACCAAAATATTGTAAAGTGAGAAGATTTTCTGGCATGCAAGAGTTTAACTCGTGACTTTTTAAAAACTTCTTTCTCTACTTTGTGGCCTTAAGTGATCTTATGTCAACAGTCAAGAACATTTAGAGGATAATTTGGTAAAAGAAGAGGTTTGAAGATGCTACGAAATTTACATTTGTTTGTCATTTTTAACTTATTTTAAAGACGTAAATAGTTTGACAGTAAGTTAAATTGAACTTACGGCAGGAAAGGGGATTTTATTTTAAGTATATATAATAATAAAAGGTTTTCCTGCTTCTGGAAGTCAAATGCATCGAAATTTCACATCATAGCCTCTGTATAAAGTTGGAGTTTACAGTTTTCGTACAGTCTGACATTATTATTAAACCCAAAAGCACAAATGACATGCAGGTAACTTCATTTTAAAACAAAACAATCAGTCGATTATTCAATTAGTCGATCAACAAAAATGCAAGTAAATGATGAAACAAATGGTTCCCGCTTCTCCAATTCAAGTGTTTTTTGGTTTTCTTATTGTGCTGCAGGCATAAACTGAATATGTTACTGTTTTAGACTTTTAAAATGTCATGATGAGTTTTTACAGCAAACTATAAACCAATTCGTTGAGTAAATAACTCAGAAGAACACCTTGTCTCTGTCTTACCTGAGCAGTTGAGGGACTGAGCCAGTTCGGTGGCCATGACCTGGATGATGAGTCCGATACGCAGCCTGAACATCTCGCTGAACAGATTGGGCTGAGTCCTGATGCTCATAGCCAGGTACACCATGATCTCCTGGTGGGGACAGAGAAAGAGTGAGGGAGGAACCCAGGAAGACGGTTTCGCAGGAGGGTGTAACTCACCTGAGTGAGAATGGCGACGCTGATGTTGCCGTCGCTGGCCTCGTCGATGAGGGCAGCCAGCTGGTCCGCGGGGATCGGAGCCGTGATGGTTTTCTCTCTCGGTTCAGGAGGCAGACCGACCGTCAGGTGCTTCTGGTGGGCCAGCAAATCAGAACAGGCCTGCAGAGAGATCACAGCCAATCAGAAGAGAGAGGTAAATTAGGAGATGAACTATTGACAAAAAACTGACTTAATTTTTCAGTTTTATAATGTGAGATGAAATAAAGTTCACTGATGGCACAATATCTGTGTCAGCATCCTTGATTATATTCTACTAAAGTCCATAAATAGTCTGCCACATACAATAAAACACGACCTCCTCGGCAGACGAAATAAGCCAACGACTGCTGCTCTGTTCTATTTATAACTGCGTCCGTATGTTCACGCGTGTGCTCGTCGTACCGAGTCGAGTTCCTCCACCTTCTTCTTCAGCATGCCGGAGATCATCCTGATGAGGCCCCAGTGCTTGAGTTCGCCCGCCTTCTCGTACAGGTCGGTCAGCAGAGATCTCACTGTGGTGCCCTTACCGTGCAGCTGGGTGTCCCAGTCCATACCCCTGTTATAAAGGATCGACACAACACACAGAGGGTTTGAGTAATAATGGTTTCATAATGTGTATTTTGTGCCACTTGTCCACATACAGGATCAAAACAGAACACAACAATGTCAAATCTCAAAGAAAAGAGCATCTTCAGATGGATGCTGTCAGCCGGGAGGCCCAGTTTGACTCAAGATCAGCCCAGAACTAAACTAATAAAAGGCACAAATTCCAAAAAATAATAATTTTAAGAATGACATAATGAAAACTGCTCCAATTAGTGAGTTAGCAGTCAGCCTGTATCATCACGTCACACAGACTTGTTTTAATTCAAAACATCAGAATGACACAAACTGGACCAGAACTTAAATGCAACGCTGCTTATTTTGACCTCTTCATCTGAAGTGCACGTCAGAGAGAGTTTACTGCTGACGCTGTTAAATGCCAACATGCTAATGAAGGTTTTTAGAAGCTACTAAAATTCTAATTCTCAGGAACCACACTGCTAATGCGGCTACAGATGTTTGTTTCTGTAAAGACGCTGACACGTTAGCTGGACCTCGATTTAAACAAAAGCGTCTCACTTGTCCTTGAAGAGGATGTAAAGGATATCGGCCTGGTCCTGGAGACTTTGTGTGTCTTTCAGCAGCTGGGCCAAAGTGCTGTAGTCGATGGCGCCGCTGGCATCTCTGGGGATCCCGCTCTCTGACGTGACCGTCACCTCTGGACCCTGGAGGACGAACATGGAGGTCAAGTAAAAGATGGAGGGTCTTTACATGACAAATCACGCAGTGCTTCACACCTGACACCCTCAGAATGACTTTTTACATATGATAACTCTGAATATTAAGCTACAGGCCCTTGAAATTAATTCACATTGTTTTTTCCATCATCTTTAAGCCTTCATAACTTCAAAAGTGCATCAGATGGACACGCGAAACTTTCAGGGCTTAGAAAACATACTTGAGCTCTGTTAAAAAAAACAAAAACAAATCCATGTGTGTTCTACTCCAGGTGTCTGATCTAAAGCCAAAACACAATAGGATCTTAATTTTTCACATTTTACCACTCTCACAATGTCCCTCCGTGAGAAAATTATTATTTTAAGTTATTGCACAAAACAAATCAGCTGATTCTAAGGAGGTCTGGTGTGTTAAAAGTATGTTGCACATGAGGAATTTTTGTGCATCAGAGGAAAAAGGTGGCACAAACAAAGAACAGAGCGGACCTGAGATTGCTGCGGTGCAGACGAGTCTGGGAGATTCAAGTTGAGCGACGGCTGAGGAGAATGAAACAGCTTGTTCGACAGGTACATGTTGACGTCTGGACGATAAAACAAAGAGCGTTGTTACCTCCTGAGAGGACAGAAAGTGCAGCTTTAGTCTGAACATCATGGATCCGCTCACTCTGCACGTTGAGGCCCTGAGCCTTGTTCTTCAGAGACACCATCTCCTTGGTTTTAGTGGCGACAGCCTTGAACCTGCCCAGACCTCCCTTCTGGATTTTGGGCTTCTTGGGAGCAGCGTGGGCCAACAGGTGGTCCAGGTACTGAGCAAGGTCATCAGCCTCTGGAGGGGGGGACAGGGAGAGCAGAGCGGAGGGATGAGGATTGGTGGGATATGGTAAACAAATAAAATAAAATAATGGACGTGGGTTTCTGAATCCACAAGACTCAACTCACCTGTCTTTCTTTCACATCTTTAAAAAGTCAGAAACATTTAAACTGCACCATCTAAACTGTCTACATCAATGAAAAGAACTAAAATAGCTAACAGTGATTTGTTATTTTAGATTATTTACATTAATGAGCACATTTTAAAAGGTTTGTTCACATAAATCCCACAAAAAAATGGTGATTGCATGCACACCTGGGGGCATCCATCCAAGCATTTTCTTTGTGGAGTTAAGAAGTCACAATACCACTTTTTGTCTGACAGATGGATTCCAATTAGAAGAAAAATTTTGTTATGTTTTAGTGCTTCAAGCATCAAAAGTCTTATTCACAGTCAGATTTTTAAAGTTGAAGCAACTGCAGACATTTAAATTTTATATTATTTGTGTGAATTGTTGGGTGGAATGACCCTTTAAACGGTAAAAATTAGAACAATGCTTTAGAAACCACAATCAAAACACTTACAAAACATGATGCAAACAGCACTAACACATGCACGTACACTAAAATCAACCAGTCGTGCACCGAACACAAGCAGCTGTTAATGCTTTTATCAGTCTTTCATTCCAGCTGAGGAGTAAAATTCAGCATTCTCCGCTTTTCATGTAAAATGCACCACAAGCCATATTTGTCAAAGAAAGGGTTCCAAATGTTTTATATAATTGATGAGGTATTTTTAATGGATTCATTTTTAATTCTAATGTAAGTCAAATTACCCAAATGGTGTCCCAATGTCCACAGTTTAAAATGGTAGAGGGGGAGAGAGGTCAGTGACGATGACGACAGGAGGATAAAGCATGAAGTGACAGTTAATAAGAATAATGTGATTCACAGGCCATAAAAAGCAGGTTTTCCTTCAAAGAATGGTCAAAGTTACAGCATTTATTAGAGCCAGAAACTCTGACATACGGCTACGTCAGGAAAAATAACCAAAGATTGGCTTAAAATCAAGACTTTCAGGGGAAAAAACATCAATTTATTCTTTGTTTCAATCCAAAAAAAAGGCCAAAAAATGAAAATAAATAAAAAATGATGCACTCTGCACAACTGAGAAGACATTGATCGACCTGGCAGCGATCAATAGTCATTTAAGTGATTATTCGGTGAACTGCAGGCTGTGTTTAAATAGAGCGAGAGATGAAAATAAAACATATTTAATGAATAAATAAATGTAGCATGGCTCGTCGTGTAAGTCGTGTAAAAAAGTTTGTAGAGGTTGTAGAAATGTAGAAATATTTTAGCCACTTGAACACTTGTACATGTTGATTCAAGCTTTTTTTCATTTTTTTGTAAAATATAATAACAAAAAAATCTAATTAGTTTTTTCATTTGAATGATTTAAGACATTTTTGCGTTCTTTCTACTGTTTCATCGCTGTGTTGTTTTTGTAGAGGTGCAGGATTTTGTACTGCAGTGAAAAACGAGGCCACGGTGAGTAAAAACAGGAGCAAAGAACAACCAGAAGCTGCTTCAAGTTCAGCAGGTTTAAAAAGTGTTTTTAGATTTCAGAAAAGGGTTAGCTCAACTTAGGTTTGAAATAAAAGACATAAAGAATGTTAAAATAAATAAAAGAAAGCATTAAAGTTTAGTGAGTCTTGTGTAATTTGGTATAAATGCAGTGGGTTAATCCTGGTAGTAGCAGTACATAAAGGTAAATACACTTATTTCTCCTGTATGTACCTCTACCTCCTACTACAGGTGATGTATTATATAAGTACGTACTGCTGGGAACGGTCAAACCAACCGTGAAAAACAAAAAAGCGCCACCTGGCAGCTCAAACATTAAATAACTTTATGTTTCCACAGCTGGCATCACCATTCCTCTCCTCTGCTTTTCTTTTTCTTTTTCTTACCATCATCACAGCGTAACTCATGCACGTATCCATCGGCGTCATCATCATCATCATCATACTCGTCGTCGTGGCGACCCATGCTGCCAGAACCCTTACCGTCCAGGAAGCTGAGGTGAGCGAAACAGGAAGTGGTCAGGAACTCCGACAGCTTCCCCGTCTGGATCCTGGAGAGGAGGAGGAAGAAGTCATGGTTTCTGTTTATTCTTTTGCTTTTAGAAGCGATTTTATGCTGTGTAATACTTGAATATGCAAATTAAGATGATGACGTATCGATAAAAGCCTGACAATAAACAAAACAGAGAGGATGAAGAAATGTGTGGATTAGAAAACCTTATAACCGGTAAAGAAAAAATTTGATTTATTGCAAAATTTAACTTGTGAGAGAGAGAAGAGAATGAGATTTTCTTCACCTTGATCCTCCATAGTACCCATCCTGTAGCTTCTTCAGCGTCGCCAAGACTGCAGGGTCCAGGTCTGTGTGATCTTCAGCTAAACAAACACAATCAATACACAAAACTGAGAATCATCGAGCGCTTTTAAAGGCGTTAATTGTGTTTCATATAACAGACAGGACGTATTTGAGTCTCGGAGAACACGTCGCGGAAACAAAAAACGCATCAACGTCTCTGCTCACTCAGCATCGTCTGCGAAATGGGGAAAGTGACGGTTGGCCGTCCGGTCATCCTCCATCTGGACGCGAGGTAGGCGATTTCTGTCCGCAGCATCTCCACGATCATTTTGTTGTCCAGCGCCATGTAGAACTGCTGGTGGTCGATGAACTGGAAGGAGAACGGAGGAGGGACGATGAGAAGATTTCACTTTTCACGAGTTGGACAGAAGAGCTTCCCTGCTGTTACTAACCTGAGGTGTGAATGTGAAGATGGTGTTTCTGATGATGTAGAACTTGGAGGTTCCCAGGACTCCTATCCTCCTGTAGGGCCGACCTGTCAGACCCAGCCTCGGGTTGCGACCTGCAGCCGCAGAAGAAGTAACTTCAGAAAGTTTCAGCTGACAGTGACGACCTGCAGCTTTTTGCCTGTGACTCTCTCCGAGCTGTTTAACCCCTAAATGGCACAAGATCTTCCTCACCCGTATTTAATGCAACACTACTGATAAAACAATCACATTTTCTGGTAGTAACAGCCAATATCATGCTGTAGTCTGTCCTGAACCTGCCACAACAGGATCAGTCGCTCTCATGTAAAAGAAAAATCTCACAAGGTTGCACATATTTCGCAAGTCTGCACTGAATACCATCATATGAATGCAAAACCTGCAGCAACACAAAGGTAAACAAACAGGGAGGTGAAATGAAGGAGTACTTCTTAAGATCACTGGAATAAATGATCAGAAAATAAGACACAAAAACCCTGAGAATTACCCTTTTGGAATTGCTGAAGAAGTTGTTCTCTAGTGATGTCAGACAATAAACATAAAAGAAATCAAGTGAAATACTTTGAACTTTCATTCCTGCTGTACGGCTGAAATGATGACGACCAAACTGACAAAACTGTACATAAATCAAGAGTCGTAACTTTCCTTTTTGTCAGCATAAACGTTTTTCTGACTCACAAAACGACTAATTGGGCTTCGACATCAAAAAACAAAACTGAGGAACAATACAGGTGACTTGTACTGCTGAAAACGTTTAACCCAGGTTGTACCGAGTCGGGCGTAGATGTGACTGAGGACCCTGGAGGGCTGCACGTGGATGGGATGGATGTCGGCCACCGTCTCCACGTCGATGCCGTTCTTCATCAGCAGCTCTTTAATCTCCTCGGTCTCTGCCAGGACCGACACTGGAGGAGGAGAGAGGACGTTTTAATCCATACAAAGAGCCACAAAATGAACATTTAACAAGGAGAAATATTTAAATCATGTCTGACTGAAACCACAAACGGACACCCGAGCGCTGAGCTCACCTTGTACGACCACGTCAGGTTTGGGGACGGTGGAGAAACGTCGGTTCAGAGGGTCGATCTCTCCGGGAGCCAGAAACCCCTGAAAGCAATAAAAACCTCCAAATTAATAAGAATTTAGTTCTTTACCTGCACATCTACATATGAACTCAAATAATCGTTATTAATATACAAAGCTTGTGCGTTGATTGTCAGGAACACTTTTGAAATCTTTGGCTGCGTAACACTCTTTATACATCTGTAGAAAAACAAACATCTTTTTTTTTTTTACTTAAAATAACTTTTAGAGCAAATTTCTCCAATTTTTAAATTCACAAATTGAGCCACTAGTTGATTTTTCACAAGACAACTGATTGATTTATCATCTGTATTGTGAAATAAATGCCTGATGCCAAAAAAACTGAAGCGTAATGAACTTAACAAGCCAAAAAAACCCTACATTTGTTTCAGATTTTAATTAAATGGACATGAAATGCTTCACAAACACGTAGTTAAAAATAAATTACGAAGTCATTAATAAGAACAGCAGCTGCCACAATGGTCCAAAATACTGCAAAAGATTTAAAAAATATGACTCCAGAGTCGGCAAAGGGTTAGACATATTGATAGTTGACTCACTTAAAGATAATTAATAAGCTACAAATACATGAAATTAGAGGGTGTTTTATAATTAATAAACATATCTTCCAACACACTTTTGTTTTCATTATAACTGAGTGCACCACGTGTACATGCAGAACTTTGAACAGAACTGTGGGAACCAGTTTTATAGTTCAGATTTTAGCACTTTAAAACAAAAAAGAAAAAGCGGATTGACAGCCGGGCGCAAGGCTCGGAAAAGGAGAGAACCTCACACATAAGTTATAAATATAAAAAAACGGTTTATTAAACTATAAGAGAAATTAACTGAAGGCACGAGTGTCCCCTCAACCTATTCTATGTCCTGTATTTTCATGGAGACAAACAAATGACGTCATTTATGCTCATTAATTTAATAACTGCGGTTCTGTGATGTTCACTTGGCGACTGCACAAAAGGGCCAATTAGGTGCATTTTTATTACTCTTAACGATGATTTATCCTGTTTCTGGAGTTATTTAAAGCTCACCTCGGACAGAAGGTTTCCCAGGATGTACAGAGACTGAGCCCACTTCAGAGGACACTTGCCCATCGGCACTCTCTCCACTGAGTGAGGGTTACTGTACTCCTCCTCCACCTGTTTGAATAAACACGTAAATCAATATAAAACCAGAGAGCCCTGCAGCCGACCAAGTCATAAAAGCTCCCTCTGAAGACGAACCTTGTCTGCAGGAACGCTGTAGAGCTCCGGCACCAGGCGGATCCCGTCCTTCTGTTTGATCAGGATGCCCTCCAGAGCCTCCTGGTACTCCTGCACCTGGATCACACCAAACGTTGTGAGCGTCCGTGCAGGTATCAGGTGTGTGTACGGCGAGCACGGCGGGTGAGAGTTACCTGCTCAGGGCTGTTGATGAAAATGCCATCCAGGATGAGGTAGGTCCAGAACAGAGGCCACTCACACTCGATGTTCTCAAAGAGCTTCAGCTCTGCAGACTCGTAATACAGTCGGTTGGGATCCTGCACAGAAGCAGAACAAGAGACGGATTTCACCATCAGCTGCTGAAGCTCTTAAATGACCTCAAGATGTGCAAAAATTGGATGATTCATCGACTCACTTGTCACTTGATGGCAAATATTATACAAAAAAATGTTTTTTTTTTGCCAATATCACACCAAGTTTTATCATTTGTGTGCATGAATTGCCGGCTTTGTGTATTTCAGTAGTTAAAAAACAAGAAATAAAGACACCAAACTTTGGGAGAAACGTATGTTTAAGATTAATAGCGAATGAGAAAGAAAAGGAATGAGGGTTACGGTATTTCTCTGCCTTCCTGAAAATGTTTAATATGACAACAGGTTTGTGGTTTTTTTAGTTTCTAATGTCAACATCCTGATAAAAGTCTGTATCCTGTGGAAACAAAAAGGCACGACTGAAAAGCCTAAAATAAGAAAACCTGACCACAAATAAACATGTTAGCATTAAAAAAATGAACATTTACAAATTGATTCACTTATTTGGAAAGTTTGTTGTGTGATGTCTGTTTTATTCCAAAAACAAAAAAGCGCAGCCCTGTTTGTAGACGTGTTTAGCTTCTACTGGGGTTCATAATAATAAAGAGAAAAGTTAAAACCTCCACACAAGACTAATAATCAATAATCAAGATGTAACCTGCAGCTCAGCGTCTGAACTTCACAAACATCCACCTCTTTGGCATCTTCAGCTTTTGATTATAAAAATATCATAACATGCAGGCGCCATGGAATGACATCTTTGTCCTTTTCTTACCCGAACCAAGCGATCTAATGAGATTCCTTCGGTTTCTTTACCTCTTTAGGCGTTTTGTGTCCGTCTCTGAGAAACCTGCAGCAGCCGTATCGACCCTGAGCAGAGAGAGAAGACGTCAACGAGGACGAAACATTCAACAGCAGGAGGTAGAAAACGAGGCTGTATGCAACAGGCTACAATTTGCTCACACAGACTTCACATTTAATTTGCTCTGCCTTAGCTTTCTCTTCATGACAACAGTTCAATAATTTTCCACATCTGTGTGTCATAAATGGCTTCGTATTGCCACAGCATTCAAGTGTCTTTTTAATATTTGTTGGTCGTAGCTTTCTAATGTGAGCAGGCATTCTAAAACATGTGTTTCTGGGAAATTTATTCTCTGACATTTACAGAAATTTAACATCAGCCAGTTTTGAGAAAAATTGAATCCTTAAACCTCCACCATGTTGATGATGTCGGTGCTGACTGTAAGCTAAAGGTAAACTCTCGCGCACCTGCAGCTTGGAGATGATCTCCTCCTTGGTCAGGTTCACGATGCTGATGTCCTCCACAGCGAAGGCCGGATACGAGATGATGGACAGGACGCCGGCGTCCACCTCTTTGGAGATGGAGGCTCTGGGCAACATGGACGTCAGGATGGACTGATGAGGCGGAGAAAACACAGGAAAGTGGGGGATAAAGTAGACTTTAAAGATGCTGATGGGGCCTTTGGTCGTGATGTGGACCTGGAGGTACCTGGCAGTGCTGGATGTCATCAGCCAGAGCGTGGACCACCGATCCAGGTCCTCCTTTTGCTCCAAACAGGTTGATTTCATCCAAAGCCTCCAGAGCTGCCTGGAGGACACAAATCATTATCACAAACCATCATTAAGGAGAAGATAATGACAACACAGTTTACATTATTTATATAATTGTTGTATAATTGTTGTTTTACAGCTTATATCCTCTCTGGAATCACCAGTAAATAGTTTTGTTTTTAATCATCTGGTGCATGCTGGGAGTCTGTTGTTGTCATTTCACTGTAAATAACCAGATTAAACTGATTTAATGGGCTGCAAATACGCACTTTTTATGTTGATTTATAGAGTGCACTTAATGCTGTGTAGCCATTTTAGTTCATCTAGATAATGTACGGATTGTTTGTTTTTTTACCCAGCAAGCATCGACTACAATTATGAATGCATTATGTAATTGATTTAGTAAAAAATAGAAATAAATAAATAGATTCCTCGGATATTAAAGTACAACATATATGCAGCGTAGTCTGAGCATCAAACGCAGCTGATAATAATGATCGGCTACCGTACATAAATATACACTTAATGGTAAAATGTTCCTTCAATACAATAAAAATGTTATAAGAAACACCTGATAATTTCCTAAAAATGTCTTTTCTTGTATCTACCAACATTCATGTGTCTGCAATAAGCCAATACTAATCAGTAATACCGGTAAAGCATGTGTTGATGTGCATATTTAGCTAAATAAATATTAAAACGGTGCAGCAGAGACGACGGTGTGCGTGGAAACCTAACAGTGATATTTCACATCAAAGCTCCTCCATTCAGAGCTGCTGCTGCTGCTATAAACACTCACTACTTTGTGTAATTGTCGGAGCAGGGAACATCCTGCAGCGGTGCCTCTTTCCAGAGTCTTAAATTAAACCGTGTGTGTGTGTGTGTGTGTGTGTGTTGAGCGCTGTGTTATTTCTGAGTGGGGAGCCATTCCTGGAAGATCACAGCGAACCCGATACCTCCCGGCAGCCAAGGACGGACACAGACGGTGGAAACCCTGATCCCGAACGCCAAAACTTCCCGACAACAATGTTTATCAGTTATCTTAAAGCTTCCTCAGCATATCATTATGGACTGAGATCTGTCAAAGATCGCCCACTAACATCAAAAACCTCATCTAGCTAGCAGCACCTTTAGTTCTTGAGAGGAGATTCTAACGTCGGAACTTCACATGACCACATTTAATCATTCTGACATCAGGACACTCTGAACACATTCAGCACCAGAGCAGCGCCTCCGATCCGATCCAGACTCAGACTGGGTCGTCTAAAGGTCAGCGTAAAGGCCGCTGGGCACCTTCCTCCATGCCAGAGATTTTTACCGGAGCACCTGTTCTGCCTGCGTGGATGAAGCTCTGCTCTCGCTGCTTCCTGAGCCTCTTACTGTATTTACTGTACGTCTGCGTGCTAACCTTGGCCATGCCGATGGAGCTGGCGTTGATCTCAGTGATGCCCTGGTTGGTTTTGTCTCCACGTTCCCACATCCCATAATCCTGTGGACGAACAAAGAAGATTTGAGAACAGAGAAGACAACAGAGTAAAAGTGCTTCCATCTGCACAAATTATGTTCTAATTTTCCAAAAAAATTCACTTGAAAGTGAATGACTGAGCACTTACAGCCACTTTATAAGCTGCCTCGATGTAGAACATGAGATTCTGAACCACGTCCACTTCATCTTGGGTGTAGACGATGTGAAGGCCTGGTACACACACGAAAACATACACACACTCATTTATAAATGCCTTCAAACATAATGACATCTAAAGACATCTGATTGACAGGAAAACTACTAAACCTTTAGTCATTTTTAAGCAGTAATGTTAAATATTTCTGCTCTCACACATCTGAGGATTTGATGTTTTTTTGGTCAGACATGACAGGAAACTGAACATCTTTTGGTCTGAAACGAAACAGGATGGACTGAAGATGTCCCTCTGGTGTGAGGGAAATTGTAAAATGATTTTTAACTGTATACTGTCAGACGAATCCAGGACTTAAAAACAGAACTGGCAAATTAATCGAGGATGAAAATAATCATTCGTCTCAGTTTATTGTGTTTTACGAAACAAACCCCACAGTTGGTGCCTTAATATCACAGCTGCTCTTGTTCTGTTTCCTCAAAAAAAAATACGGTTCAATCATTTTTCTTACATATTACCTTAATTTTTCTGAAAACCAACACAAAAACAGGAATCACAAGAACTTAATTAAAACTAAAATACCCAGAATTCCCCAGACGTGTTTGGAATTAGCTGCTTTTGTCCCACATGACTCCAAGAAAAGCATCAAAAGGAACATTTCATGTCTCTTGGCCCAAAAAATGCTTGAAAATAAATCTTAAAAAGTTTAAAAATATATGACTAAGACCTCCTATCTGCCTGTTGTAACTCAGTAAATTCACATCTGGACTAGCAGCAGGTGAGCCGCTCCTCAGGAAGCATCGTGTTAATTTTCATCCAATCACCACGAAGTCAGCATCAAGGTAACCAGAGCCTCTATCAGCCGCTCACAAGTCATTATTCAGATGCTTCAGTTGCTAGAATCTGTCTTTAAAACAACAGAAAAGTTCTCTCGTACCGGACGCTGTCATCTGAGCGAGATAGAAGAGGAAGAGCGAGGTGGCGTCCACCTGCAGGTGACCCCACTCGTCGTCCTTGACGACGGTCGCGCAGGTCCTGGGGTTGTACTTGGCGTGGAGCGAGTCGGAGGTGCTTCGGCTGTATTTGAACTTCTCCACCTTATCCAGCTGCAGGAGCAGAGGAGCACAACACGGGTGGAGAGACTTTTTGAGTTTGTTTGAGGAGAGTGAAGCTAAAAAGACGTAATTAATCAAACTTTAAGAAGAGAATCTCAAAAGCAGAAAACACCTGAGTGATGCACGAGTCAATATAGAATGAAGATATGCTGCAGTTTGCAGCATCATGAACGATAACAAGTAAATTTATGTGAGTATAACTGCGACAAACTTGACCTTTAAAGATTCTCTGGCTGTTTTAGGCTTTCCCAGTTATGTTGTTTGAATATGATTTTTTTTTAAATGCAGGTTTTTATCCTCTGAATGAACCAAAAACTGACCTAAAAGCTCAAGTTTTTTTTCCTGAATTTCAAGAAATGTTCCTCAACATAACAGTAATACTCATTAATAATACTTATTAAAACTGCCACGGTTCATATTTTTGTGTTAACAGCGAATCAAACGAGTCGCTTATAGTAATTTCATCTTGTCATAGAAGAAAAAGCTTAATTCAGAACATTAAAATTGACTGAATTCCACTCATTTAAGCTCCTTTAAGAGTCCTTTTGTTGTGCAGTCTGGCTCACCGTCACCGGGACGCTTGATAAACTGAATCATCGCTAATTAAATATGCATCAGTCAGAAAAATTCTAATACGAGCCTCAACAAGACAACACTTTGACCATCTTTACGCAACTAAAACTTCTCATGTTTTGGCTGTTTATCAGTTAATCTGCACAAACTAGAAATGAAAACAACTGTCTGCTGCAATATTTTTAATGTCTAAATCATTTCATGTTATAAAACCAGAAGAGAACGCAGCAAGTGAAAGAGACTGTGTTTTTTTTTTTAAAGATTCCAGCTGAGACCAGGACTGTGCACGATATCCTTTTTCTTTACAGCAACCTCAAGGGCACATCATGTCACAGTGACTGATTCTGCACAATAGACTGCAGTTAATGGAGGTTTGGGTTCATTCTTAAGTGTTCCAAGAGCACCAGTAAAATGAAGCACTTTAAAGTGAGGGACTGCCCGTGTGTTCACTCACTTATCTTATACTAACTGATCAGGTCTGGATTATACTCTGAGATAACTGCTGGTAACAGATTGGTTCCGGTTCTGGACTTTGCGGGTGTAGGTTTGCAAAACTGGACCTGTGCAGGACTCAGAAGCTCAACACCACAACTCCAAGTGAATGTGTCTCCGTGTTTGTCACTGTTGGCCAACACATTTGGCCTTTCTAACATGTCAGAGTTGTGTTTACGGCTTCTTGCAGGGGTCAGGATGCAGATTCGTAACCAGTAGCATACCTTCTGGTCTCAGCGTTGCATCTCATCGAACCCGACAAGAACTGCAACATCTGAGACCAGAGCACCACCCATTTTCCTGCAGCTATTTTTAGTTTATTTAATCAATAGCAACGCAACACATGGACTCTATTTTTCCACTCAGTGTTGCAAATCTGCTTGCAACTCCACTTGCATGGATACTGATGCCGTCAGAGAGAGAATTTAGAACCAATGCAAAACTCCTTTTACCTCAGAGCGACAAAAAAGTAATGATTTGTGTTACTAGGATTTATCTGGAGCTTAAGAAGGTGTGACAGCTGGGTGATGGACGCTCCTGTGTGTGTTTGTGTACTTAACAGATGCAGAGGGACAGATTTGCATCGGGAAAAAAAAGCAGGACACTGATCAACAAAACCCCGAGACATCCTACCTGCCTCATTATGCACTGCAGGACACCTCTCATGAGCTTCACCACACTCTGCAGAGAGAGAGACGGTTAAATGTCAACATTATCGACTCTTAGCCGCTCGCTAAGAAACGCGACACCCAACAAACACTCTGCCCGGATTCATTTCATGCCGTCTGACTGAATAAAACCTGAACTCTGAACCTTACTTTCCATGTTCTTCGCGCCTACCTGCTCCAGCTCGTAGGCCTTGGCCTTGTCCTCGTCCCTGTCGGCGTTCTTCCTGTAGGCCAGGCTGAGGGCCCACACCGACACGATGCTGTAAACATTGTCTCTGACCCAGGCGTCCGGCTGATCCGGGCTGCCTGGAAGAAGACCGGTCACTGGATCCTGTCGGGCACAGATGGAGGTCAGCGGTCAAAAGTGAAAGACACACGTATGAACTGTCAACAGATATGTACGCACAAACAACACACTTGGAGGTGGTGTGAAGCGATTAACATGATTATATTTTTACTTTACTTCACTTCAAAAATCATGAGGACAGGATTTTTAGTGTTTAGAAAATCAGAAATAAACAAGACTATTAGTTTGTTGGGCAGTTCAATTAGCTTGCTATTAGTTTAGAATCAGTTTTTTGTTTATCAGAGCATCACACATCACTTGACCTCCTGTCCAATCTCGAGTGGATGACACATATGTTACGTATCCCACGTCTTAAATGGACTTTAACAAACCAAATGAAAGCCAATGTTGCCGAAACACTACTTTTGAATGTGAGTAAACAATAAAAAAAGTCAAGTTTGAAGCTAACTTTCATCAGCGTTTATAAATACGTTGAACCCACGAGCAGCAATGCATTCAGCAGCTGACACGCAACTTCTTATTTCCCATAAGGTCAGAGGTTGTTAGTCTCTGGTGATGAAGCTGAATCACTGCCAGGTTCTTTCCTCTTGCTAAAACTACATTTCCCATCAAGCCTGATTCTTCCTGCTGTGATGAGGATGCTGCAGCTTGTTCAGCTGATAACGTTCACACTCGGAGGAGGAAATGTGAAACTATGCAGCATCAAGTTTCTTCCTCGATTATTCATCTCGTTTTTCTGCCTGAAGAGCAGCCGAATGTGGAGTTTGTCTTGAGAGTCGTTTTATCACAGCCGACAGCTCTTTCAACATCAAACCGGCTTTCAACACACAGCGGTTTCTTTCTGAGTTGCACAAACACACAGAGTCTAAAGTGGGTATCACTGATGTCTGCTGTGTTCAGAGCAGCTTGTGTGTCTCTAACTGACTGTATCTCTCAGCCAGCAGCAGCAGACAGATTTACTGCCAGTGTGTTTATCGTTCTAATTAAACGGATTGTAAAGGACTCTGGGCGGCTTGCAGCCTCTCAGAGAGCAGCTCTGAGTGCAGTGATCCATCTGAGCAGTGGACTGAACACAACTGCTGCTCGGCTAAGCAGCCGCTTGGGATCGATTCAAAAAGTGACCTCACGCCCAGTTTGTCCACTTTCACGTCTCATCTAAAGTTTCTTCTGTCTGCAAGAAGAAGTGGGATAATTGAAAATGTGAGAGCTTTAAAAAGATCACGCCTGATCATCCTGTATTTGTCTAATTGTTTAAGTGAAACGTATAAAAGTTTTAGTCACTGGTTTTTCAACTTTTGGGGGAAAAATGTACAGAGATGTCGATTTTTGCGCAATTTTCTTCTCACAAAGTGCCTCTGACTGGCACCATATGCTCATATTTCATGCTCCCATTGGTGCCAATCACAGGAAAATATCTATATATAAAATATATAAAATCATCCTCTCAGGGTGAACAGTAAAGGGTTTATGGTTGGTATCGGAGCAGACAGAAACAACAACTTTTTTCACCAGATTTGCACCATCATATAACTGGTTTGTAGTATTCTATCAAAGCAGGGCCGGACCATTAAAGACCGGATGTACACATCAATGAGCCTGCAAAACGCCAGGTCTCCAGCTACATTATTACTCAAGTTATGACATTTGGCATGAACTCAATCTATATTCACCACTTTTAAATAAAAGTCTGTCAAATTGAAGATGGTCAGGCGTGAATTGAGGCAGAATGAACCATGTGGAGGAAACTGTTGGTCGGTCCGGGCATCTCTGCAGCATCACAGCGCTTCATTTTTAATGCTAAGTTGTCAAACATTATACCTTTTTTCCAAAATTGCAGCTCCTGTGATTCAGATGTTGCATTATTTTAATAATATTTCCATTAATCGTTCAGTCTTGTGCAGTATGCAGGAATACTTTAAACAATAACGTGCTTTGAACTTTGCAGCAACATCTTGTGTTTGTTCCTGTTTCAACATGACAACGCCCCTGTGCACAAATAAAGTCAGTAAAGAATCGCTTTTCCTCGCTTTTGACTGCACACAGCAATGGACGCTTTAACAACAGCAATGAGAACAGTTGAAAAGAAACGTATTCAACTGTCACCATAGGACAAAACACATAATTTGGTTGTATGAACAAAACCCAGCGTGCAGCGCAGATTCACCTGCTTCTTTATTTATCAAAGTGACATCATTCCCTAATATGTATTTACTTATACAGGTATGTGTGCATGTTTTTCATTATTCTGATAACATTAAAACTATTACCTGTATGCCTCGATAAATAGGCTAAAGGTTGAATTTCAAATTGAAGCTTTTTTTCTGCAGGTTTTTAATTAAATAGGTCATTAAAAACCATCAATAATTATTAATATCAACTAAAGGTGAAGCTTTTTGTGGTGATAAACTCAGTTGCCTCCTTCAGGCTGAAGCAGCAGCAGACTGCCAGCCAGCTAGTCCTCATTAATGAAGCTGCTATAATGAAGCTGCTTTAATGAAGCTGCTATAATGAAGCTGCTATAATGAAGCTGCTTTAATGAAGCTGCATGGAGGGAAATCCTTGCAGCCAGGTTATAAAAACTTTTGGAAAGTTACCCAGAAGACTGGAGGGTTTTCATGAGAGCAGATTTACTCAACAGCATCATGTCGACTGTGGAAACCTTCAGGACCACCATATATAGTTAATATCTCATTCCATCAGCCACCTACCGCCTGTATATAAACGACCAATAACTCTGTATTTACAGCTAATGACTATATTCATTGTCATCAGCAGGATGTGCTCCAACTTGTGTTTCACTTTAAACATGCTCACAGTTAAACAGTCATGTTTCTGTCTTTAACCTGCTGTTCCTGTTTGAATGCATGTGTGTGTTCGTGCTTTGAGAGCGAATAAAAAGAGTTAAACTCCTTGTAAGTGTGACTGACTTGTCCAATAAAAGCAGATGTTCAGACACTTTAGTTCATGAGATAATGCGTCCCAGTGCAGCATGCATGAGTGTAACTGCAGGACAATCACTGAGAGGACACACACACACATACACGCACACACACACACGCACACACGCACGCGCCTGAGTGTGAGTGTGTGTTCTGCAGTCTTGCGAAATATCGCTTCACCTCCGCGGCAGCATGAAAACACCGCAGCTCGAGCTAACGTTACCTGCACACATGACGGCGCCGCTGTGTTCGAGGACTAGCCGTCCCCTAATGACCGTTAAACTCCATGAACTGACGTACAGAGAACACAGAAGCACTTGTGGACACTCACTTGGTGCCGCAGGATAGTTTGCTGCACTATCCGGGCATAGTTGTCCAGTTTGACGCCCGAGTTGCTCCGACTTCTCATGGTGACAAGTCAGCGGCTCCGTCCGGGCGGCTTCAGGTGGTGACGAAACAACGCGAAGTCCCTAAAAAACCCGCACGGAAGTCATTTTTTCGGCCGAAAACGAGGGAAGCTGTCACGGAGCGCAGAGAGCTGCAGCCTGGCTGTCATAAAAACAGCTCAGCGGCGTCGGCGGCGGCGGCAACCGGAGAACCACCGACACAGGCGACGTCAAGCTCCGGTAAGCTAGTTAGCGGAAGTGTGGTGACGTCGTCTTCAAAATAAAAGCACAAGGTCAGGGACAGAACAAGTGACGCTCTGCAAAATCATCAACTCTTTTTACATATATATTTTGAAATTATAACAAAATTACACTTTTTTTTAAAGTTAAAAAATTAAAAAAATATTGACAACTTCTCTTTTACGTAAAGTAAAAAGTACACGTGTCAAGTCAAATATTTGAATATTAAAAATATCTAAACAATTAAAGTTTATTTTTGTTTTTTTCCTACATTAAATAAAAAGTGTCAAAGTGAATAATTCTGGTGTAAATAATACAATTCGATTTTATTTATATAGCATCAATTCACAGCATACTTCATCTCATAGCACTGCACATAGTAAGGAGAATTAGTGTGGTTGCTGAACTTTGCGATCTTTACTCCTTGTTACTGATGCTTAAAATGTAATGTTTGCCCACATTAATATCTGATCATCCTGAGAGTGCTGTTTGTTAATTAAGTTAACTTGTCTTGTTTTGTGTCAGTGCCTCTATTGATGGACTTGTTGTGTTTAGTGTGACTAAAACAGATGTAATTATTTCAGCTCAGTAAATTTAACTCAGCTGGTTTTACACGATTACAGCTCTTAAGATGACTTTGAACGAATTAATCAGCAGTTAACTCAAATTTTGCAACTCATAATATCCAAATGACGAGGTGAGCAAACCTGTCAGATGGACCACTAAGTCCACGACATGTTCAGGATATAAAAAGTGCGTAACGCTATCATGTTATAAAGTTATATGAAATAATTTTTTTTTTTTTCGTTAAACGAATTATTTTTGAAGTGCTTCATATATCCTGCAACTTCTCCTCAAATCAGAAAAGTTACAATTAGAAAAGGAGGTTAGACATACAACATTCTAGCTATTTTTTCTTTTTTTTTAAACTGCCTGTTCATGTCTCCAAACATTATTTTCTATACTTAGTATGATATTCGGTATGGGCGTTATTATCTGTTTAATGTGTATTTCAAAAGCGGAAATGATCCACTTCATTGTCAGTACCTTGACACAGATGAGCCGTACAGCAGAGCGGTAGCAGAAATTAATATTTCAGGATGAAAGTAACAAACTCAAATAGCACATTTTTAAAGAAAATGGAAAATTGTGTATTTTATAGAAACTGAAAAATGTTTTAAAACGGCTTTGCTGGATTACTTTAACTGTAGCAGCTGCTGTCAAATTGAACCAGGAAGCAGTCTGAGGCACAAACAATTTAAAATACATTAACACTATAATGTAGGACATCTTTACTGACTTACCTGTGCATTGTTTTGTGTTATGGTTTGTTGTAATATGTGATCAATGTTAAATAAATTTTTATATTCGTCATTGTGGCACTCTGAGTGAACTCACTTGTGATTGGTTGAAAGTAGGCCCTCCAGCGAAAAGCAGGAACTCTGCTCCAAATAGGGTTACACGGATATCACCAGGATCATGTGTGCTTCAGGAGACTCTAAACTTAAGTCTGTGGTCTTTTATAGCTATAGACATTGAAATATTTATACAAACAAAAATTCAAATCAATGGTTATATCCACTGAGAGCTGCTCATTAGCTTTCCTGTATTCACTGGCTATCATTTTTGTATTTAAAACTGAATTATGTTCTGTTTTGGGCTTTTTTTTCTAAGCACAGATTTGGGGGGAATGCAGTGATAATAACAATCATCTTCACGCTCAACGTTTAAAGTCAAAATCATGAGTAGAACCTGTCGATTAGGGACGTATCTATCAGAAAACTACATAAAATCCCAGAATGCACCGCTCCACTCGTCCGTCACTGTTTCATAACCGTCATTGCTCGGAACCTTAGTGTCATAGCTGAAGCTCTCTCTCTTAACCGTTGGGGAAACTGACAAAATATCCTCACTTTAAATGAGATAAAGCTGTACCGTATCATATGCATATTTGCTTTTAATTTTTTAGCGCTGTTCTTCCTCTCACCGCGTCGTTAAACCGGCAGCGAGCCGACTTCCCCGGTGAGGGGGATTGTTGATGGCGGAACACCAGGCTGGAGGAGAAGCCACCGCTCGCATCTCTCGGCTCACAATTTGTTTTAGCTTCAGTCTCAGTGAGATTATTTCCGATTTATCCGCCGTAAATGAGTTGCAGAGGAGACAGTGATGAAGACAGCAGCAGCAAACGGAGAGTCTCGTATGTTTTCAGTCCGGAGTACATCGAGACTTGCGACACTTTGTCCAAAGTACCAAACCGGGTGAGTTGGATTGAATGGGAGGCGTTAAGGCTAGTTAGTTAGCAGGATTTACATCCATCTGCAGTGTCTGAATCAACTTAACGAAGGTTTTTACAGGCTGACTTTGTGTTTTTCTGTTACCAGGCGAGTATGGTCCACTCACTGATTGAAGCCTACGGACTGCTGAAACATATGAGGTGAGTTGTTGGGCTGGAAACTCAAGTTTTACACTAAATACATGTAATTAAAGAGACATACTGCTCTCTGATACACACACTGCACTGTAGCTGTGATCTAAAAGGAGCTGAGGTGTTAAAGTGATAAGGCTGAAGGCAGTTGAAGTCACTGAATGCATTTGAAATCTAAGTTTAAATCCCTGCAGACAGTTGAATGACCAGTTTTGATCTAAGTACTGAACCTGAAGCAGCTGAACCAACAGATGAGGAAATTGATGACATTAAAAAAAAGATTAGTGTCTGTAAATGTCAAAGCCAGGGCTGCAATCAGGATTATTTTCACTGTCAGACCCTAACCCTGTCAATTATTGTCTCAATTAATCAATCAGTTGTTTCGGTATGTAAAATATCAGAAAATGGAGAAAATGTCCGTCAGTGTTTTCTCAAAACCCAACATGTTGTGTTCTGTCCACAACTCAAAGATATAAAGGAGGAGAAAAAACAGAAAACATTCACATTTAAGAAGCTGCATTAGATCATTTAGATTTAGTTTCTTCCAAAGAAAAGTACTCAAAACCGATGAATCAATTATCAAAGCAGCTGGCGATTACTTACTTATTACTTACTTATTATTACTTATTAATAGTCGACAGCTGATCGATTGATCAGTGCAGCTCTACGTAAGCCACAGTAGTGTGTAGGTCCTCATTTATTGCCAAGCTTTTGACATTAGCGCTGCCTCTCTGTGGTAACTTCCCTTCTTCTTATTGAAAACAGAGTTGATACAGAGATTAATCACTTTGAGTAATTTTTTATGATTTATTCATATTTAACTGCGTCCATGTTTCAATCTCATAAAAGGAGTTCATCCTCAGAGTTGATATTGATTCGATTAAAGACACTCAGACACTTTTCTTGCAGGACTAAACTTCATAACACCCCCAACAACATCCCATAGACTATGAGCAGTGAGATCACAAACATTTATCATACGTTTATTCTTCTGTTTTTGTGATTCATACACCATTGCTCAGTGTCTTGGTTTGACTATTGCTGTTCTTCTATTGATCAGCGTATCCTGCATATAGAAAATGTACGTTCTTTGTCGAGTACAGTAAACAGACTTAATGCCTTGACACTTAACTCATGCATAGTCACCCCCACAGAGGCCCACTCTGAGCCAGGAAAACCCTGTTACCTCTCCTATAACGTACAATTAATGTTGTTTCCCTGTTTTCCTGCAGCGTTGTGAAGCCTCAGATGGCCACCATCGAGGAAATGGCCAAATTCCACACAGACTCGTATCTGGAGCATCTTCACAAGATCAGCCAGGACGGAGACAACGATGACCCCCAGTCAGTCGACTATGGCCTGGGTGAGACAAACAGAGAACCCCCTTTAATCATTTAACCTTAATTTTGTTAACTGTACTTGTTTTTCTGCCGTATGATAAAAGGTAAAGAATCCACGAGAGCGTTAATGTAAAAACTGTACAGATGACCATGAGCTGCAACAACAGAACATTTACAGGGACTGTTTTATCATCTCAGATTTAAAATTGAGATTTTAGGGTTTCAGAATAGTGAACGGTCCTTCTTCTTCGCCAAACACATGTTTCCCTGCGGTTTATTTTCCACCCAAATGTGGCATTAAAAGGAAAAATGAGAGATGAGGAGGGAATGTGTCTGTTTTCCAGCAGAGGGCGGTGTAACGCTCAATGTAAACAGCCTGTCCTAATAAATAATATTTGCTGTCCCTTTCACATCGTCTTTTTGCTTTGGTTGGGACAGCGATGCATTCTTAATAATCTGAGATAATGTCGACCTCGTCTCACCCCAAACATCCCACTGTGGCTTGTTGTTCTTGGGTGGACTCGCTGAAAGTCTGTCCTTCTCTGAGGTTTACATTTCCAGCTTTAGACTGATCTTCCAGTTCTTGTTTTTGTTTCCTTGACTCACCCTATCGCTATCTTCCTCGCTCACTCCTTTCCTTCGCTGTCACCCACCCTCTTCTTTTTGTCCTCAGCTCATCCCTCTGTTCCTTCCTCCTTTTTGTACTCCGCCCTCCTCTCTTGGGTTCGTCTTTCCGTCATGTTACAAAAACAAAGATCTCCACCTTCTCCTGGATTAAGACATATCTCTCACCTTCTCCACTTTATTCTATCTCTGCCACACTCTTCTTCCACCGATCACATTTCGGTCTTCTTACTTCTTTCTTTATCACACTTGTCATTCTTCTCCTTTTCCCCTCTCTCATTTTCATTCTGTCCTTTATTTTCCAGCCCATTGGCTTCCTTTAACCTTTTCTATGAGGGCATGAATTAGCCTCAGGGAGCAAAAAAGTGGTTTCAATTAAAGGCAGAAATGTTTCACCACTATATGACTGTCGTTTCATATTTTAGTGCTTTTTAATGTCCTTGTAAAAGCCACTCGGGTGAGTCATAATAGACGCTGGTCATTCGTTGCCCCTCGTCTTCCTCCCCAGGTTACGACTGTCCAGTGGTGGAGGGAATATTCGACTATGCGGCAGCAGTAGGGGGCGCTACACTCACAGCGGCTCAGTCTCTGCTCGACCAAAAGTGTGAGGTGGCCATCAACTGGGCAGGAGGGTGGCACCACGCCAAGAAGTAAGATGATCGGCTCACACATAAGCATGACTCAGCGATCATAAAGTTCTGACGCTGCGCCTATAAAAAGCAAAAAAACGTACTTTGTTTGGATTTAGCTTTAGTCTCCATGTGCAGCGTCACACCGTTCGCAGCGCTCCTGCTACGACACCGAGTCTGTCCGAGGTGTCTGAGGGGAAACATTTGGCTCAAATGCTCAAAACTTTTTTTCCCAACTCGCTAGATTTGGCTCCCTGCAACTTCTTCCTCTTCTGCAAAAGGAAGTTCATGTTGAAAGGTCGCCATTTTGACACAGCGGAGGACATTTAGCATGTGTTGGAGATGGTCCTTGGTACACTTAAAGGCCCTCTAGCAAGTATTCCAAGTGTGGCAGGAGCACTGGGAGTAGAGTATTGCTGCAGCCAAATTGAAATCAAGCACAGTTTTTGCTTTTCTGTAAACTTCTTGATCACATCTAGTGTGCTGTGTCCTGACTGTGTCATTATTATGAGCACATATTTTCTTACTCTGCAATAATTACACCAAATATTATTCTAGCTTTAGTTGTTTAATGTCTATTGAATAAATTGTTATTCAAGGTAAATGCCACATCC